TGAGTAAAATTTCAAAAATACAAGAAAACCTGACAGCAATTTAATGTGCTATTATTAAGAACAAAAGAAAACAAGAGGAAGAAGAATCAAATTACTTACTTATGGAACTAATTCAAATTAAATTATTAAAATAACCGAATTAACATCAAACACTATCTATGTAGTTTCAATTTTTTAAAATCTTTGCTGATGTCCACTCAATTACAGTAAAACCTGTAAAAGTCACCTATCAGAGGAAAAAGCCAAATATTTTTCACTGTGAGAGCAAGCAGAATGTAATGTGGATTTGGGAAGGGTACTGCTACATTACAGGGATTGCAATCAATTTCACAAAACAAAATGGGTATGGATTGTGAGTAGGAAAACCAATTTGCTCTGTGAAGTCTCACCCAAATCACAGTTTTAAAAAAAAGAAAGCATGAAACCATGAGAGAGAGATAATCAACAGAAAGGTAGGAGGTTATCCAAAGCAATTCATACTTGTCATTAAATCAGTGGTACATGAATGCTATTTGAAGTTCTGCTGTACTCACTTATAATTCCTATGCACAGTTTCCATCTTTACCTATTATAACTATTCTGATTTAAACAACAAACAAAAGCGACATAGATACTTTTCATCTTAATAATAAAATCAACTCACCAAATCCTTTTTCACTTGATTGTCCTGGCTAGGAAATAACAGTTTTTACATGATACATTATTGCCACCTACTGGCTAAGTTTTCTAAGTACAATAAACAAATATTTTTTAAAAACCCCAAAAAAACCTGTGACCTTGTAAGCATAGGGTAGAGGGCCTCTTTGGGTTTCCTAGACTTTAAAGCTCCACGGGAATAGACAGTCTCGTTTTTCTCCCAAGGAGCAGCTGATGGGTTTGAACCACTGACCTTGTGGTTAGAAGCTCAGTGTGCAGCCCACTATGCTTTCAGGACTACCTATGTTTAAAACAGAAAAGCTAAAATTTAATCTGATATGACTGGAGTTTTTCCCAAAATGAAAATTTTAAACCTGCTAAAAAAATAATAAAAAGCCCACCGCCATGGAGCCCACCTCATGGCAATCCATGCACTGCACAGTAGATCTGTTTGACAGGGTGTCTCAGCTCCAATTTCAACAGAAATAGATCACCAGGCCGTTTTCCCATGGGATCCATTGCGTGACTTTGAACTGCCAACCTTGAGGTTAGTAGATGAGTACAAACTGCTTGCACCAAAAATGCACCTGCTGCGCATGACATAAATGAATGAATTTATACAGCGTGGTGTCTCCACACAACAGAATACTATTTATCTTCTCAGAATAAAATTGAACCCACCTAATACATAGAACATGGTTTAGAGTTCAAAATAACTATACTGAGAATTAGAAACCAAACTAAGAAAATAATCTATATTGTATGATTTCTAGTGGATGCCTAGGGATGGCAGGGCAGGGAGGGCATAAGGAAATTTCAAGGGGTGATGGATACTTTCATTAGCTCATGGTGACAGTTTCACACTCATCAAATTGTATGCTTTAAATATATGCACTCTATTGTGTGTCAAAATATCTTAATAGAGCCATCTTTTAAAATATCAGAATCTCTAGAGGTGGGGCTCAGCTATCAGTAATTTAAAAACACACCTCGCAAAGCAATTTTACCCAGCAAGCAGGGTGGAAAACCACTTCATTAGAGGGTGTTGTCTCATTTACTTTGTTCTGAACAAATGAACACTAGGTAAGGAAACATGAGCGGCTGCAACAACTGAAGGATTGCTCTTTTTGGGTGCCTGTGGATGTCAGCTGACTTATCTTAGAAGTGCACAAACTCAACTTGGATTTAGTTATTACTCCTTGGTTTATATTTCACAATTCCAAATCGTAAGTAAGCTTCAGAAACCAAACAATTTCATCAATTTGTTAAGACTATTTGTTATGCACCCAGTACAGCAATATTTAAAAAGCTAAACACAATACAATTCTAATACATATTTACAAAGAATTGTACATTCCAAAACCACAAGAAGAAAAATCTTAGGGAAAGGTCATTCCTAAGCTGAACTTGTCCTTGGACCCATGACAATACTTGATGGCTCAACTCTCGATCTGGCCAGGGTCTCGGGGGCTCCACCTCTGAAATTTTCACCTGAAATATCCCAACCACTTCTGTGACCCCAGCCTTCCAGTGTTGAGCCATCTCCTCCCCTGCCATTCTCCTGAGCCCCTCAACTCCTATTCTCACTAGCAAAATCCTCTATCATCTCAGCCATCTGCATTCTGTTCCTAAATCACGGTTGCCCAAAACTACTGAAAATGGCTCACCAGAATAAATAAAGTCTTGACAAAATCCTTCTGTCATTTTTTCTAGCCTCAATTGGGGATTCGGCACCGCTCTGCAAGACTTTCCCCAACCCGCTCACAGAAAGCTAGCTTCTAAAACAGTGGTTCTCAATCTTCCTAATGCGGCGACCCTTTAATACAGTTCCTCATGTTGTGGTGACCCCCAACCATAAAATTATTTTCGTTGCTACTTCATAACTGTAATTTTGCTACAGTTAGGAATCGTAATGTAAATATCTGCTATGCAGGATATATTTTTATTGTTATAAATTAAACATAATTAAAGCATAGTGATTAATCCCAAAACAACATGTAATTACATATTGTGAACTATTTATGTGTTTTCCGATGGTCTTAAGTGACCCCTGTGAAAGGGTCATTCGACCCCCGAAGGAGTCGTGACCCACAGGTTGAGAACCGCTGTTCTAAACTTTTTTCTTTCAATATTACAGCCTCTTTATTTTATTTTTTTTTAAATCATTTTATTGGGGGCTCTTACAACTTTTTTTTTTAATTTAAATAATCATTTTATTAGGGGCTCATACAACTCATCACAATCTGAACATACGTCATCTGTGTCCAGTACTTTAGTACATATGTTGACTTCATCATTCTTACGACACCCACTTTCCACTTGAGCCCCTGTTCTAAACTTTTAACATTCTCCTCCAGCTCCCTTGTTACCATACCTCCTTTCACTCTCCGTTACCAACTTGTCTTCCGCCCCGCAGAGAGATTAAAGGACTGAATATATGCTACAAACTCTCTGCTCCCACTCCCTATTCACGTAATAGCATCCACTGGCCTAATTCCTTCCCTCTAGTCTCAGAAGTGTCCCTCTAGTCTCAGAAGTGTGGTTTCCACGAACTGGAAGCAAACCCATGACATGCTTTGATTTTGGTTTTCGTCTTAGGAAAATGAGAACAGTTCCATACCTCTACCCACCAGAGATTGCATCTTGTCCATTCTGCCTTCCCTGCCAGGCAAAAACTACCCCCTGAATCTATCCAGTCATGCTCCTTCACTGCTCTTCAGCTATGGCCATGCTTCTTATTCTTCACTTCCCATCTTCAATGTGGTGATACCCAAGAAAGACTGTTGTAACAGGCCTAGCAGAGCTCGTTCAAAATACGAATCTCAGGTCCTGCTTCAGATAACTCAACCAGAACCTGTATTTTCACAAGACTTTCAGCAGTGGGAAAGGACAAGCCTTATATAAGACCGATCATAAAAATGAAAAAAAGACGAGGGAAAGAGGAGATGTTCTAGACTGAGACATAATGATCAAAGGCAATTTGGATTGAATTGCAGATCTAGAGTAAAGTTATAAAATCCATTTTTGGTAGACAATTGGGAAATTTTAAATATGTACTTTTTATTCAAAAGCACCAAATTAATGTTAGTTTTCTTAAATGTGATGACAATATTTGGGTACATAGAATTGTCTTTTTTTTAGGATAAATGCTGAACTATCTAAGACACATCTTACCGTGCCTGCAGTTTACTTTCAGATTGTTTATAGAAAAACAGAGAGAGAAAGTAATAGAGAAACAGAGAGAGAAAGCAAATATGCTCTCAGGACATGAACTCATCAATACTAGCTAACAGCACACGCCTCAGCAAAGAGAAGCAGTTCCAGCCACCACATTATATGCGACTTAATTAAATGTAAGATCAAATATTGCAGACTAATTTTTAAGTTGATACAGGAATGATGTCATAAAGACCGAAATGGCCCATCGCAGAAAAAGGTTTCCCACCCCTGCTCTAGATGCAGGGTATACAGTTGATCATTGTACTATTTTCCCCTTGTTTCTGTAAGGACTTTTGTCCGTTTGTTTCAAATAAACAGCTGTAAGTAGGAAAACTATTCAGTGGCACCCAGAAATGTCCAGTCTTTGGTAACAACATGATTCATCGAACCTTGTATACATCTTAATACCTGAGTCAGAAGATATACATGAGTGCTCAATAGATCTATGATGAAAGAACTGGGTATTTTGACTTTATTCTTTGAAGTTAAAGGAATAAATAAGTCCATGGATACTTTCTGAAACTTTTCCATGAAAGTGAGGCAGTAGACAAAATTTCTCTTCACATTCAGAAGGATGACTGGCAAGCCTACCCTAGAAGTGACCCGCAAAAAAGCATTGTACCTCAGTGAATCATAGCAAACCTGCATAAAGTATTCAAGATTAGCAAAATAAAGCTTCTATAAATGACTTAAGGCGTTCAAATTCAATACATAATTTTTTTAAGTTATCCTAAGTTTCCTTGACTAGAAAAGTTGTGAGAAACCAGCAATAAACAACGTTTGCTGGAGGCACTATAAACATGTTTTTCTGTTGTATGTTTTATCAGCTGTAAGAGGGCTGATGCCAACAGACAGACAACATCGATCCCAATGCTACAAAATCATAAAGCAAAGCACTGTTCTAAAGGACAGCAGAGAATGGCCTGGCTAGTTGTTCTGATAAACAAAGCTTACTGGGACACAGTCTTGACCATTTGTTATGTATACTGCTTAGGCTGTTATTGCCAACGCACCAGAGTTTCAGTAGACACGATATGGTCTTTATAGCTCAAAGTCTTTACTATTTAGCCCTTCATATAGAATGTTTACTGAAATGGGCTCTAGTCAGGTAATTTGAGAAAGCAGTAAAATCTGTTCCGACTCACCTTCGGGGTGGTCTTTTTGTATTGGTCACCTCCATCTATCACATTTCTCATGATATTTTCCTTGAGAAATTCATATTCTTCTGGAGTCAGGTAAATAGACTCTAACATTTTCCCACAGCTCAAACATTGACCACTGTAATTAGAATTGTTGGTATTAATGAATGCCCTGGAAAAGAACTGTTTCTAAAATAAATAACCCCACGACATAAGGAAATTGAAAAGTAATGAAAAAGAACATTAAAACTTGAGTGGTCATCAAAACACGCTAGCATGTTACAGAAATGTGCCACGAAACCTAAAAGAGTAAGTAGACTGCCGGCATTTAGGTGAAGTTTTTATTTTTAAAGTCAACCCTGAAACACACCTGGGTCCTGAATCCCCAGGAGAAATAGGTGCACTGCACTTACAGGGGAAATATTCTATAAATTCTCTAATACAAAGTATGGCTTTTTTCCTAAGGCTCAATTTATTAACTCTCAACTATTCTATCGCTGCTGTTGTTAGGGGTCAAGTTGACTTAAACTCATTAACAACTCACAAGAACTGCCTTAAAAGGATTTCTAAGCTGTCATTTTTACAGGATCAGATCACCAGCCGTTTCTCTCTAAGTAGCTGAGCACTTAACCATTTGCACCAACACGACTCCATCCTATCCCTATACAAAAACCAAACTCACTGTCATCGTCAATGCTGACTCATAGCCACCCTACCCAACTGCCCCTGTGAGTTTCTGAGACCGTAAGTCTTTACAGGATTAGAACGCTCCATGTTTCCCCCTCGGAGCCAGCTGGTGATTTCGAACTGCTGACCTTGAAGTTAGTTGCCCAACATGTAACTACTACTCCAGCTGGGTTCCGATTCCTAAAGTATTCTTAATTTCTCCTTCTCCTTCTTTTTTAAAAAGCCAATAGCAACAAAAGAGATTAAACCCAAATTCAACAAGTTAAAAGCAAACTAAAATTGCCCTTTACCTTTTCTGGATCGTAGTGAATTGTCCTTTCCATTGTTCTCCGGGTATGCTACAAAAAAAGAGGGTACAACCAAGTCATCAAAAGATATTTAGAAACTCTGTAAGCAAGACCTCTGGAAAGCCACTGGTATTTCCCTAAAATGGGTTCATTAGAAAGTGGTTGTCACATTTTGATGGCCATAAGGAACTGATGGTACGCAACTCTGAATCACCTTCTTCCCTTCAGTTCCCCTCCTGGAACCCTATGCTCTCCTTCTTTGATTTCAAATCTGGAGTTGTATGGAAAGCAGCTGAACCTTAGTAGTGTCCTCTGGGGAGCAAACACAACTCTAACCTCCACAAAGCTGCCAGAGATCATTCTAGCTTAGAATAATTTCTCTCCCCTTACATTATTGTCTACTACAAGGGGACTTGAAAATGTTTGTGGGGAAAAAAATTTCTTTTAATTCCAATTTTCCATAAACGTTTTGAAGTCCCTCATACACCGCTGTTACTTAACCGTCAAGTATTATGATTCCCAGTTAGGTTGTGTTGTCCAAAACTCGCTGCCATCAGGTCAATGCAGATTCAGAGCGACATTGCAGAACAGGGTAGAACTGCCCCCGGGGCTTCCTAGACTGTAACTCTTTATGGGAGTAGAAAGCCTCATTTTTCTTCCTCAGATCGCATGATAGTTTCAAACTGCTGACCTTGCAGTGGGCAATCAAACGCATAACAGATCTTAAAAATATTCACCATTCGGCATTGAAAAACTACCTAAATCCAAAAAGTATTCCTACTAGGATTCCAGTTCATGTATGCATTGGTTTGCTGCAAATTTAAATATATCTCTGTAATCAGTAATATGGCTACAGACAAGCTCTCTCCATAATTAAAAAATCACTGTCATTGAGTCGATTGTGACTCATACTGGCCTTACAGGGCAGGGTAGCAATGCCCCTTTGGGTTTCTAAGCCTCATCGGTCTCCTATGGAGCAGCTGCTGGTTTTGAACTGCTGCTGTTCTGGAAAGCAGCTCAATGGGCAGCCCACTACACCACCAGGGCTCCTCTCTCTTACACACTTGTTAGGGTACCTTCAAAACAGAAAGGGGACAATCAAGACAGTGGCTTCTGAGGGGATCTGCTGGGCCAGTTAAATTCAAGGCTGAGAGATCAGCTCAGGGTATGACAACTGTTTTTTGGGGGGATTCCAAAGGGTTATTCTTGATAGGACACAAGATAATCATGAGGGTTTATTGTGAAGAAGCTTTAAGATTCTTCTTTTTGGGGGGGACATGGGGAGGTAAGAATAATGAGTACAAAAATGAAGAAAAGGTTCTCCAATTGATTTTGGTGATTACACAACTCTTACATGTTTAAGCCATTGAAATGTATGGTATAGGAATTACATGTCAATGAAATTGAAATTTTTTTAATGAAAATAAGTAAACATTTTTAAAAGATTCTTCCTTTTGTTCCCAAACTCAAGACTATTTCAAAGGAAAACAATCTGAGCCCTTAAGGATGCCCAATACTGCTATTTTATTATGATGTAAATAAAGCAAGATGGAAGCACCTTCAGAAGTTTACAGACCTAGACTGAGGTTACCGTATATACTCGAGTATAAGCCAACCTGAATATCAGCCGGGGCATCTAACTTTACCACAAAAACTGCATTAAAAATGTGCTGAAAACCAGGGGTGACAGTGGCGATACCAGGAGGGAAAGGGGGTATAGAAAGGGGGAATGGATCACAGGGAGCTACATATAACCTCCTCTCTGGGGGACGGGCAGCAGAGGGGTGGATGAAGGGAGACGCCGGACAGTGTAATATAAGATACAATAATAATTTATAAATTATCAAGTGTGCATGGGGGAGAGGGGAGGCGGAAGGGAAGGGGAGGGGAAAAAAGGAAAATGAGCTGATTCCGGGAACCCAAGAGGAAAGCAAATTTTGGGAATAATGAGGGCAACAAATGTATAGATGTGCTTTACACAATTGATCTATGTATTGTGATGAATTGTATGAGCCCCAATAAATTGATTAAAAAAAATGTGCTGAAAAACTCGGCTTATACATGAGTATATACAGTATGTTGAGAAACAATAACTTCATATTTAGATTTTTTTAATAAAGATTTCTAAGATTTTGTAGCAATATTTTTTTGTATGTATTTGCTTAAGCAACTTATCCTTTACTCTCTCCTCTGATATGTATTACCATCAAATCCTATTAGTTCTATTGTCTCCCCATGTACTTAATTCAGGACCTTGTCATCTCATCTCTCCCCCAAACCTACACAAGTAACCAACAGACCTCTCTACATTCAGTCTTAATCCCTTTCCAATCTAAATGTGGCAGTTATCCTTCTAAAACAACCCTTCAAAATCAGCACACTGGATTTTTTGGTATTCAAAAATTTTCACAATCTGGTTCTTCTTCCATTCATATTCAATACGTTGTTAAATGATGGAATGAGTACCTAACCTAAAAGAAATTATGCCTTGTTTTTCTTCTTCAGAGTTCTGTATACATGATGTGTAGTAGCAAAGCAAGAGAAAACTCAGAGGGAAGAAGTATATTTTTGAAACAGACTCTAAAATTAGTGGTAGAAAAAATAAAAGACTAGATCAATAAGCAGGTATGAAGCCAATTAGCTGGACTAAAATGGGCAAGTAAAGGAGACAGCCATAGAGAGAGCAGTCAAGTGATAGTAATATTCAAAGGTACTGGTTGTATAAAGATTTTCCATTTTAGGACTTGCATATCAGGTTTGATCAGAAACCTCTTGTCCAGTCCAACCATCTAAATTTATGAAGTACAGAGATTAAACAGAGTAAATGTAAGCACATTATACTTAGTGACTAGGCTTCAGAGGAATTGATGAATGAGCCACCAACAGCTCTAACCAAATGCCATTACTCTTTCTTCCTATGAACTCTGGCCTCAAGTCCTATCCAGTAAGTATCAGTATCATACAGAAACCAAATGATCCTTCTAAAAGGAAAAAGTATGTTAAAACTAGTTTTTTCCTTGCTTAGGCTACTTTTTAAGAAGAGTTTTTCAAAGAGTTTAAAATTTTTTCGTAAGAAAAAAATCTTACTAAGAGATGGAAAATAAATATAATCTGAATAGTAATAATTCTTAGTAATTACCAAAAAAGGGACAACTTTTAGGTATTGGCATTAAAAGTATATAAAGAAAACTCAGCATTACCTCTCAAACCATGTTTTTATACTATGCGCAAATGATTCCCCTGGGTAACACTGATTATTTCGAAGATACAAAAGGATGTCTTGTAGTTTGTTTGCATACTGATCGTCCTTTATATCTTTTCCAAAATCAAAGAAAGCTTTTAAGGTTTCCAACATAGGAATGAGATTATAACCTAGCAATTCCTGATACAGCTTCCAAGCTGTGTTTACATCTTGATGAAGGAAAGCTCCCCGGATACAGTCATCATAATTCTTTTTTGAAGGAACCATGACTTTTTTGACATCTTCTAACAGCAGCAAGGCCTCTCTCCATCTATCTGCAAGGATTAAACCCCGGATGAGGAGCGTGTAACCCCCTTGTTCTAAAATCTTGTATCTGGCTTTCATGATTTCATAGACGTCAATGATTTCTGATGTTTGCTCATGAAAAATACAGAGATACAAATATTTGACCAGTAAGTCATAGCTTACAATACCATTGTTTTTTGCAGCTGCCCAGGCCAGCAGAGATTTGGCCACATTTACAGAGCTACGCTGGTGAGTTAACTGTGCGCTGATCCAAGTCTCAAAATTGGCCCTTCCTTTGTAATCCTCCTTAAGTTTTTCCCACTCTTCGGAAGTCAAAGGTTTTGTTGGGAGTTGCATGGAGTTCCTCTGAGATGGTGGGATAGGATCTTTATTCGAAGGATTCATCTGTGATCGCTTCTTGGCTGCCCCAGCTGCAAAGAGATGAGAATCAGAAGCAGCTTGCTTATTATTCCCCTCATCTTTCTTCCTGCCATACCTGGTCTTGGCAATCAGCAAATTCGTTGCGTTGGTATTTTGTGGAGACACCGTGGTAAGGCACAACCACCTCTGTTGGCTCCTGAAGGCACAATGGCCCGCACAAAAGAGAGAGTTTGCTGGACCTGACCCAAGGGACAAATTGTTCTTCCAAAGCTTTGGGAAGCTTCGAAACCCAGACAAGCAGAAAGCCATTATGCCGTGGGATCAGCACCTGACAAGGTGATGTCCAAAAAGTCTCTGCTCCGATAGCCAAATTACGTGCTTGGGAGGGAAGAGGAAGGAAGCAGACCAGGGCTTTAAAATATATTTTTTTTCCGTTTCTTCCAAGACACCTCGGGGTTCTTCGTCTAGGAATCGTTGGCAGCGACGAGACTGGTGAGTTATGTCCATTAAAGAGCGTTCAGGGGATCTCAGATCTCGGCGGCAGGCCCCAGAGCCCTGGGACAAGGACGGGAATCGCCGCTTTCCAAACGAGGATCCTCAGGGGCTGGTTATATTGCAGTCCTCTCACCTGAGGGAAAAGGGAAAGGAGGAACCCAGTTTGGTTCACGTACATCACAATTGCCCTCAAAAGCGGCAGGACCCCAGGATATTGAAATAAGGGGGCCAAGTCGAAACCAGCGACTTAACACATAGGAAACCCAGGACACCCCCCCCCCCCCCCACCCCACCAGCAGCAAAGCTGGCGTCGAAAAGTCACCATCTCGGAGGCCCTCACCCTCCCCCGGCCGCCAGACGGGTCAGATGAGGGGACGGGGGAGCGGGGTTAGCGGAGTCAGCAGCGCAAGGAGGCAAGGGAGTGCACAAGGGCACAGCCTAGCGTGGTACGGACGGGCCACGAGCGCAATGGACTTCATTCACAACTTACCACGACACTCCCGCGTCACGCAGCGTGGAGTCGGCGAAAACTACAGCGTCCACAATGCACCGCGCCACCGGCCCGCGGGCGCCCCCTAACGGACGCCGGCGCTCTTCTGAGAAGAGGTTTCTAGTGGCAGAAGGCGGCTGTTGGGAACGTGTACACGAGTCAGGGAGCTGTTGGGGCTGCCAGATGTCAGCAATGAACAATGAGGAAAAAAATTATAAAGGTGGGGGGAAAAGCCCTCCTCCGGAGCCGGAAACGCCAATACGCTCCCGAGTCACGTGAGACGCACGCGCTGAAGAACTGAGACGGAAAAATAAAAGCGCGGGCTTCCTTCTCCTGGGCCTTCAAAATTGGGAGGTTACGTTGGGAAGCCCCCTTCAGGAGGATCATTTTCCGTTTCCCTTCACGTCCGCTCTCCGTCCTTAAAGTAATCTCCGTATTTCTCGAAGGTGCTCCAGTAATCGAGATGGTTGGATTTGGGGGGCGGGTGTGTGTGTTTTCCTCATTAACTCGGACTTCCGCCCAGGTCCAAGATGGCCGGTTGAGCGGCTTTTCCAACCTTAAGGGGGCTTAGGGCCCTCGGCCCGCTGAGCTGGTCGCGGGCGTGGAGTGGACGCTGAACGGCACACGCTGGCGCTGCAGCTCGGGCGTCGCCATGGACTGGAAGGAAGCTCTCCGCCGGCGGCTAGCGACGCCCGGCGCCGAAACGAAGGGTGAGGCCGTCCGCCGGACAGCCGGCGCTCGCTTCGGGGGAGTGGACGGGCATCGCGGAGGAGGGGCCGCTGGGAAAGCCGCTCCGCGCGTCGGGAAGCCTCTCCCGGCCCAGGGGGCGGGGTGGATTGTGCATTAGGGATCCTGAGCGGTTTGTCCCCCCGCCAACCTCCCTGGGAAAGGGAGGCACCCATTCCCATCCATAGCCCTGACCCCGACTTGGATTGATAATCCAATGGCCCAACCTCCTCCGACTGTTGTCCCGTTCCCGGGGCTGATGTATTTCCCACCGTTACCATTTTCGACTTCACAATCTTTTTTTTACCGCATCCTTTGCCCGTCACACTTGCCTCTTCACCCGCCTGCTTGAACCCATCCTTCATCTTCTTCCTGCACCCAGGGCAGCTGAAAGTGACTGGTAAAAAGCAGAACCTTGGTGAGTTGTTTGCTTTGTGATTCTTCTCTGACTTTAGCCAGGCCCTGCCTTCGCTTTTCCTAGCTCGTTTACGCTTCCTGCACGCTAAGACGATTTTTGTAGCTCTCCTTTCTCTTCAAACCACCAATACGAGGGTTACAACCACCCCCCCCCAAAACAAAACAAAACAAAAACAAAAACCGGTGCTCATTTGTATTTTCGATGTGAGGGGCATAGTGCATTTGGAGTTTGTTCCACCGGGTCAGACTGTTAATCAAGCTTTCTATTTAGAGGTTCTGAAAAGGTTGAGTAACCATGTGGGCCCAAAAGGGCCTGATTTGTGGCAGACAGGGGACTGATTTTGCCACCACAAAATGCACCTGCTCACGCAGCCATCTCAGTGTGCCAGTATTTGGCTAAATACAACATTCCTCTCTTGCTCCAAGCACCTGGCTCATCTGACCTTGCCCAGTGGGGCTTCTTTTTGTTTCTGCAAATGAAGAGGGACATGAAAGGACCAAGATTTGACAATATAGAAGAGGTGAAGAAAAAAAAACGAGGGAGGTGCTGTCAACCACCCAGACAGATGAATTTGAAGAATGTTTTCAAGAATGGAATCACAGATTTGACAAGTGTATTTAGTATAATGGCGTGTACGTTGAAGGTGATAAGTTGTTTTATTAAAAAAAATTTGACCACATAGCTTTGAAAAAAAGTCCAGGTTTTGGGGGGTACCCACTCGTATGCCCTGCTACACAATTCTTACTTTCAGCTGATGGAGTTAGGTTTTATATCATTTAGACAATAGAAGCAATATCAGAACCTCACCAGTTCTCATTTTCCATTTCTGCCTGTGCCTGCAGATATCCTTATATGTTGCCACCACTTTTAAAACCGTGATGGCCCTGTTTGACACAGTCCTTCCCCATCACCACTAACACGCTCCTTTCCTTCTGCTCGCTGAGTTCACGCCTGCACTATCCTTCCATCGTGCATAAGCAGATTTTTCTTTTTCCCTGGATCATTTCTAACAGCACCGACAGCTCACTGCCATCCAGTGAAAGCTGACTCATAGCGGCCCCTGTGGGTTTCCTGGACTAAATGTTTAGAAAAGTAAAAAGCTCAATCCTCTTCCCGAAGAGCTGCCTAACCTGTTCATTGCAGCCCAAGTCGTAACCACTGCACCACCAGGGCTCCATAACATGCAGTAATATTCCCATATCTTTGAAAAATAAAAGCAAGCCTGTTGCTCCCACATCCTTCTCGTTTCGGACAGATATCCCCGAACCCTCAAACTCCAAATTCACTGCCATCGAGGCGATTACAATTCATAGTATTTCTATAGGACAGAGTAGAATTGTCCCTTGTGTATTGCAGAGTTGTCAATCTGTACGGGAGCATAGCCCCATCCACCTGTAGAGAGGCTGGTGGGTTCAAACTGCCAACCTTGGGTGTTTAGCAGCCCAATGAGTAACCCAAGGAAAACATCTGAAAATAAGTGTCTCTACTTATGCCTTTGCCCACATTCTCCTCCCCTTCCTTTTGAACCCACTTCACTCTTTCTCTGATAATCGTTGCATGCCTATTTTGTGTCAAATACTATTCTAGACTATGCAGTGAACAAAACATACAAAAAGTGTCTGCCCTTGTAGAAATTACTCTTTAATGTGAGGGAGCCCATAAACTAAATCAGTAAATTAGATGATTATGTTATTAGGTACCATCGAGTCAGTTCGACCCATAGCGACCCTATCACAACAGAATGAAGCATTGCTTGGTCCTGCACCATTTGTACAAACTACAAATCTCTCATTCGATCCCTCCTTTTGTGCTAGATCCCTGTTCTTCTGCAGATGACCCCTCTCTTCTGTGTCATCAGTTGTTCTTTCTCTGGCTGAGTTGTCAGTCAATACATGGTTTTCTTAATGTGTATGGATTCTGACTAGCTACAGAGTCAAATAAATTAAAAACTCTCCCTCAAAGAATGGTTACTGCAATATCCACAATTACTACCCTGAAGCATTCAGGATGGTTTAGGGGTAATTCATTTACTAATAAATTTCAGAAAACATTTATTTAGTACCTACTCTGTTGGCACTGTCTGTAAGCATAAGGCTGCTAACCTCCAGGTCTGTGGTCCAAATCCACGAGCTCCTCTACAGAAGAAAGATTAAACTGTCTGTTCCTGTGGAGATGTACAGCCTTAGAAACCTTAAATAGGGTCGAGTTCATTCTGACTCGTAGCAACCCCAGAGGACAAAGCAGAACTGCTGCCCGTGAGTTTCAGAAGCTACAAATCATTACGAGAATAGACAGCCTCTCTTCTCCTAGAGAGCTACTAGTTGGTTCTAGCTGCAGACCTTGCAATTTGCAGCTTAGTGCATCGCCCCCTGTGTTAGATATTGGGCTAATTAGTCCTTGGAGAAATACTGCCTAATGAGACTTCACAGCTGTCTTTTAAACTTTCTTAGTTGCCAATGACTATGTACTTTTTAAAAAGCCGTGAGTGTGTTTTCCCATAGTCATTGAGCTGCTAACCGCGAGGTTGGCACTTTAAAGTCCCCAGCTACTTCTTGGGGAAAAGACGAGGCTGTATCCTCCCATGAAAATGTACTAGGTCACCAAGAATCGGAGATGACTCAGTGGTAGTGGGATATGAGTGCTTGACTGGAAACCTAAAGGTTGGTGGTTTGAAAGCATCCCTCCATAGTGGAAAGATGCGGCAATCTACTTCCACAAAAATGATAGCTGTGAGGGAGGACTATTCTGTCGTGTAAGGTGGCTATGAGTTTATAGCAACAACAATGGGTTTGGCTTTGTTTGTTTCAACAAAAAGAATGGAAAAATGTAATCTGATAAGATAATAGACTTTGTTTTCAGAAGAGGAGCATGTAAAATCCCTGGCCTTGCCACAGCACTCAGTGTCAGAAATGAAGAATGCAAGTCTTTAGAACTGAAGCGGTCAAGATCTGCCACATTAATGTTTAATTCTCCCTGGATGATCTCAGGACTGGGAGGTGAAAAACACGAGGTACCTGTTGCCATGGTCCATACATAACATAGAGGAATGGCTGGAGGAGACTGGTAGATGCCAGCAGCAAGTGGGTTGAGTAATAATACCTTGTGTAAGGTTCAGAAGGAGGGTTTTTTTGTTAGACAGAGATGTAGTCATTTGGAAGGGACAGACTGAAACTCCATGAGGTTAAGGGCTGAGTCTGTTTTGTTCTCTCCAGGTTCTAGTATAGCACTCTATACATAGTAAACCAGAAAACCAAACTTGCTACCATCTAGTTGATGATGACTCATAGCAACCCTATAGTAACAAAGTAGAACTTCCCCTGTGAGTTTCCAGGACTAACTTTATGGTGCTCAGTCAATATTTTTGGATGAATGAATTAGGAAATCTTCAAGAGGCCTATAGGACAGGCAATGAGTTAAGGAAAAGACAAGCTATAATGATAGAAGAAATATTTTGAGAAGAGGCTATGTATGTGTGTTAGACTGGGTTGACTAGTAAAACAAATCAAGGGACATTGATATATGAATAAAAAAGAGCTTTATATCAAAGAGTAATTGTATCTTAAGAAAACATCCCAGTCCAGATCAAGTCCATAAGTCTGATATTAGCCCGTAAGTCCAACACTGGTCCATAAACTTGAAATCCAACTCTTCAAACTCATGAAGTCACATGCAATGATGCAGAATGCAGGAAGATCACAGGTTGGTGGGTGCAAAGTCTTGTGGATCCAGTGGCGGTGGATGCATCCCCAGGGCTCTGGCTGCCATCAGCTTGGCTCCATGTGGCTTGTCAACAGGAAGGTGAAGCAAAGAGAGAGTGTGGCTCACCTCCATGGAAAAAGGAAGGAAGTTTACAGAATCCTCATGAGAAAGCTACACCCATAAGAAGGCATCATCAGGCTGTGACCTGATTGACAGGCTAGACTCCACCCCTAGACTCATTTATCAAGTTGACATGTTGACATAAACTAATGTAACTGTCACAATATGTAAGTGAAACTGTTTACAGTGGGAGGTAGTGATTCTGGGTAGTTTAAAAGTGTTAATATAGGTGTTTGGTGTCTAAACATAACTGAGAAGGCCTTTTAGCCCTGTTTTCATTTGCCTGTACTGCCTAGGTTGCCCTGAGTAACAATAATTACTGACTCGAACACTGCTTGACCTGTCTTATTACCAGGGAAAAAAAGTGAACAAGAACTAAAAGATGAAGAAATGGATTTATTTACCAAATACTATTCAGAGTGGAAAGGAGGTAGAAGAAACACAAATGAGTTCTATAAGACCATTCCTCGGTTTTATTATAGAGTAAGTGATGTCTAAGCAATTCCTTGTAGCTTTTATCGTTTGAAAAGTTGGACCAAATTTTATATTTTAAAAACTCAATAAATTGAACATTCTGTTTTAAATTTTATATATATAGTCTTTCATTGTAGTCTGTCTTCTCATTATTATAAAACATTTTGGACCTGATAAAATCTTGAATTTTAGTACAAGTTGCACTCTTCTTATTTGTAACACTCCAGCTTACATGGTTACTTGTGTTGCTCAAGGTGTAAATGTTGTTTTACTCACATGTGAAATAGTTCAAGAATGGAAAACTTAGAGAAACATTATATATACATTTCCTTGAGCCAAAATTGTTAACATTTTTGAAAGGGTGTCATGTAGGATTTAATTTTCATCTTAGGAATTAATAAAAAGATACTCAGGTCTATCATACATAAACTCAGTTTATTGAAAGTAGTGTTAGCAAGGCATGCATGTAACACCTCACAATGTTTAGTTAGAACTAGAGAATCAGAATTAACTTCAATGCTAGTTCAGTGATTAGACTCCACATCTTCAGTGTTTCCTTTGATAAGTAGTCTCAGGCTGAAGGCTTGACCATGATTCGGACTTGGTGAAGGTCCCTTGTAGCTAGGATCCAAGATCAACAAGGTTGAACAGTATGTCCAGCCTGCAACTCTGGCAGGGTCTCCTCCTCAGAGAATGTGAGAGCTGAGAGGCAGGTCCTCTGACTCTGCCTTCTCTTGGTGACTGAGCCGAAATTGAGAATTTGTGAATTTCTCACCTTGGCTTCCTGTAAGGTCCATTGTGACTTCAAGGACCAGTATGTTATATTTTTTCACCAGAGTAAGAAATTAGTCAAATGTTGCATCTTTTCTGTAAGGCTAGAGATTAGGAAGGTTGTTTAGATTTATGCCTCAAAGCTAGTTTACGAAGATTAACTATGTTATGTTTTCTTTTGTCAGCATGCTGAGACAGCCCAATTTAAAGGTTGATTACCACATTTTTTTCACATACTTACATTTTTCTCTGGCTAAGTTTAAAAATGTTTTAGTTCTGAATCACATTATAAGTAACTTCATCAGTGGCTTGAAAATTATTATAGAAACAACATAATGCCTTAAACATATTGCACTGGTGATTTAAGAGCATTATAGAATCATGTGACTTGAGAACATTACAAAGAGCACACATAAAAAGTTATAAATTTAGAAGACCTTAAACAAGTTGTATATTGCTGACAATGACATCTAGTGACAAGCAAAGACGAAATAAATACTAATACCATGTAAACAGCAACCACAGAGAAGAATTATCTTTGTATTCCTGGGTGGATATCTCTTAAGCTTATTATCTTCTAAACTAATATCGTTTTTACCATTATTTGCAACGATAGTAACATTTTGCTTAGCTAGCATTCTTAAGAAGTAAGGTCTTCATAAAAGTGAATTACTAAGGTAATATTTATTTCGTCAAGCACAAACATTTTCTAAAATTTGTATCTTAAAAAACAACAAAATTCTACAATGTATTTTTAGCTGCCAGCTGAAGATGAAGTCTTACTGCAGAAATTAAGAGAGGAATCCAGAGCTGTTTTTCTGCAAAGGAAAAGTAGAGAACTGTTAGATAATGAAGAATTACAGGTAAGATGAGTAAAATGTTGCTTTAGATGTTAACCATTTCTTACGTGTACTCCTGCAATCTTCCACAGTCTCATGGTGCCTCTTAATGGAGCCGGCACTGAGTGGATGGAAGCTCAGGCTCGGGTGCGCACATGCGCTGTACGTCTCTAGGTGATTCTAATGCGCAGCAAGATGAGAACCACTGCTTTAGAGCACACTGTGTCTACATCACACTGTCTCAACCCTGGCTCTTCTGTATGACATTCAGCAAAAGGCAACGTCGCTGTGCTTCAGTTCTCGCCTGTAAAAGGGAGCGCATGGATTAGAGACACTATATATGAAAAGGAGCCTGGATAGCATAGTGGCTCAAGTGCTTAACTGCTGACCAAAGTGGCAGCATTAGAACCCACAAGAGAAGAATGTGCAAGCTTGCTTCTCTGCAGATTTACGGTTTGGGAAATCCTACGAGATAGTTCTACTCTGTCCCTCCAGGATTGCTGTGAGTGGGAATACACTTATGGTGTTGAGGTTTGGGATATATGTGAGGACGTAGGACTTAGTAGGCATTCAATAAATGTTAGCCATTTTTATTGTTATTAGTAATCAAAATAGCAAGGAATAAGATTCATCTTGTTAAAACTCTGCTATCAGTCTTTCATTGTAATGGAAATGGCATGTTTAGTGTATTTTTAAATTTTGTTACGTAAAACATCTTCATGTCTGCATTTCTCCTAAGAATTTATGGTTCTTGCTGGACAAACACCAGACACCACCTATGATTGGAGAGGAAGCAATGATAAATTATGAAAATTTTTTGAAGGTTGGTGAAAAAGCTGGACCAAAGTGCAAGTAAGAATAAGATCATTAACCAAAGAGTACATGCTGTTAAGTGTTTTTAAATGCCTCAAATGAGTGTTAATGGAAATGTAACCCAGTGGCTTGACATTTGGAGTCAATTGCATTCTTAATGAAAGTATGGTTATCTATAATCATGAAAAATTATTGCCGTGAAGTTATTAAAAGAAATAATATAGATTATTGGAAACACTGTAAGCCTTTATTCTTAGACAGAAAAGATGCAAAGAAAAAGAAGAATGAGAAGATGTATGGCTTAATATTTTAAGTTTTGATATAAGTAGCCTATCTAATTCTGATCTTTTTTTCACTTCATTTAATAGTTCACTTATTTGCTAAATACTTGCTAATTCATACCATTCATGCCATTATTTGCTAATTCATATAGAAATTGTTTTTATATTATGTTGGCAGGTTTTAATCTTTTCTTCCTCTTCTTAGGCAATTTTTCACAGCAAAAGTCTTTGCTAAACTCCTTCATACAGATTCCTATGGAAGAATTTCTATCATGCAGTTCTTCAACTATGTGATGAGAAAAGGTGATCCATTTTCACTGTGCTTGTATGCTGTTTTGAGTCCATGAGTTTATAGTATCTCTTTCATGTAACTCAACTGTCTGATTCAATATGAATGGCAGAATTGCCTATCTTTTCATTGAGATTTGTTGTGCTATTATTTTGACTGTCCTAGCTCATTTTTCTGCCATAAATTGGAGTTCATTATTAGAAAACAAAAAACACACTCATGTGCCCTAAAGATCCTAGCTGACTACAACTATTAAAAGCTGAACCAAGAGTTTTATTTTTTTCTTAAGGTGACTAGGGTATACAAAACTCTACATTATACTTCTGATTTTTTTCTTTTTAAAATCATTTTATTGGGGGCTTGTACAACTCTTATTACCATCCATCCATCCATTGTGTCAAACACATTTGTACATTTGTTGCCATCATCATTCTCAAAACATTTTCTTTCAACTTGAGCCCTTGGTATCAGCTTCTAATTTTTTTCCCTTCTCTCCCCCACCCTCCCTTCATGAACTCTTGATAATAATTTTTTTTCATGTCTTACACTGACCGATGTCTCCCTTCACCCACTTTTCTGTTGTCCATCCTCCTGGGAAGAGGTTATATGTAAATGATGGGGATCGGTTCACCCTTTCTCCCCCAACCTTCCCCTTCCCCTCCTGGAATCACTGCTGTCATTATTGGTCCTGAGGGGTTTATCTGTCCTGGATTCCCTGTGTTTCTAGTTCTTATCTGTACCAGTGTACATCCTCTTGTCTAGCCAAATTTGTAAGGTAGAATTGGCATCATGATAGTGACGGGAGGAAACATTTAGGAACTAGAGGAAAGTTGTATGTTTCATCGTTGCTATAGTGCACCCTGACTGACTCATCTCCCCGTGACCCTTCTGTAAAGGGATGTTCAGCTGCCTATAGATGGGCTTTGGGCCTCCACTCTGCACTCCCCCTCATTCACAATGATATGATTTTTTGTTCTTTGATGCCTGATACCTGATCCCATTGACACCTCCTGATCACATAGGCTGGTGTGCTTCTTCGATGTAGGCTTTGTTGCTTCTCAGCTAGATGGCTGCTTGTTTATCTTTAAGCCTTTAAGACCTCAAACGCTTTATCTTTTGATAGCCGGGCACCATCAGCTTTCTTCACCACATTTGCATATGCACCCGCTTTGTCTTCAGCGGTTGTGTCTGGAAGGTGAGCATCATGGAATGCCAGTTTAATAGAACAAAGTGTTCTTGCATTGAGGGAGTACTTGAGTTGAGGTCCAATGTCCATCTGCTATCTTAATACTAAACCTATAAATATATGTACATAGATCTATTTCCCCATTGTCATATATAAATATCTTTACATATGTACGTGCCTTTATTTAGACTACATAAATGCCCTTTGCCTCCTAGTTCTTTCCTCCATTTCTTTTGCTTTCCTTTTGTCCCACTATCATGCTCAGCCTTCATTCGAGTTTCAGTAATTCCTCTCGGTTATATTGCCCTTGATCAAGCCTTTCCAGGCCTCTTATACCCTCCTCGCCACCAATTTTGGATCACTTGTTCGCTTATCCCTGGGTTTGTTAACACCCACTTCCTTTCTCCTGCCTCCCTCTCTCCCATGGAACCAAGAGTTTTAATGTATGGTTACATGAAATAACTTAATTTTGATTTGCTGGTAATTTGCCCTCACCACTTTATTACAGATTGCCTGAAAGGTAGTTTCAAACCCATCAGTGAAGCAGATCAGTTTGAAGTAACATTTACTTATAATTTTAGAGTTGTGATCCCAATAAGTACCCTGAAAGTCTGTGAAGTGCTGTGTTCCTTCTTTAACTAATAATTTGGCTACTGTAATTAGTCTCAGTAGAATAAAATCAGCTTTATTATAGGCATGCAGTACCAAGTATAACAGGTAGTTAAACAATAGCCTCAAGGGCCCGAATTTCATTCTACCATTAAACACAGTAGAATTGTTGACATCTGCTATTAATTCTAAGGTATGTTGGTTTTGTTTTGAAAATTGGGGAGTTTATGAATAAGTAACGTGTGAGAAGAGGTAGGTTTATAGCATTATTGCATTAGCTCTTTATCTCCCTTCATCTGTATATGCTGTTGGAAAGCTCTTCATAGTTACATTTCATTTTCTTCTTTATTGTCAGTTTGGCTTCATCAAACCAGAATAGGACTCAGTTTATATGATGTTGCCGGACAAGGCTACCTCCGGGAATCTGTAAGTATTAGCCTCTGTAGTTGGTTAGACATCAGGATGTTAACAGTAATTACGGCGATCATTATTTGCTTCTCTTTTTGAGTTTTTACAATGTGTTACTAACAAAATTTGGAATTGGTCAAAATTTCTCTTTAGGAAAAAAATATTTTTCTTTAGCTTTTTCTATAGCTTTAAAAAAATGCTCTGTTAAAGGGCAAGATACAAGAATAGGATTAAAAACTGTTCAGAGAGGAAAGACTTTCCATTATATGAGTATTTTAAATGTCAGGACCACAAATTTTTCCTTAGAAAATATAAGAAAAAATAATGTGACCATATTTTCACCTATAAATTAGGTACTAATATAAATGGATCCAGGTTGTCAATACATAATTATAACCTCATGATTCCAATGTCTTTGCTTCTTGGAAATGTGGTTATCTAAACTAAAAGATGTACTCCCCTCTCCCCTCCCCCCAATATAGACTCCTTTGTAGGGATCTTAAGGAGGGAAGGGAGTTGCGAATAAATATCATCAAAGTAATTTTAAATAGTGGCAACTCGTATGGAGAACATAAAGTATGCTAAAGAAGAAGAGTTTGGTGAGCAAGACCTAAGAGGGCTACTTTAGTAAGCTGGGGGCTACTTCTCTGAAAATAGTACATGGGCTGCAGCTATGCAGAACAGAAAACGTCTAAGCTTTATGAGCATACAGTATAAAGGAAGCTACAGCAAATGCAACATCCCCAAGGCAAAGTCAGTTATTCTATCCTGGGCAGAAGGAAACTGGAGAGAGTCTGGAGCACATGAGCAGGGGTGAGAGTGAAGGAGATGAAGTCAGAGCAACAGGAGAGAGTCACACATCGGACCTTTTAGGCCACAGTAAGGAGTTTGGCCATTATTTTGAGGTTCATGAGAAGCTATTGAAACACTTATGCTCCATCTTTCAGGATATGATTTACATGTAAAATACTACTCAGGCTATTGTGTAGAGAATGGATTGTAAGAATTTTAGGGAAGGCGTCATTAGGAGGCGGCTGCAGTAGTGCAGATATGAGACCCTGGGCAGAGGTAGCTGTGGAGAAAGCTAGAAATACATTAATTCAAAATACAGAATAATTAGGATACCTTCTCCTCCCATGCCTTATCCCCACCCCAAAGAAAAAGCCAAAAAAACTTGCTACTAGATTGGATGTTGGGGGCAGGAAGTAAAGGGCAGATAGGAACGAAATGAGGCTTAACATTTTAGTTTTAGACTTCCAGCAAGATGGTGAACTAGGCAGACATCTACCCAGACCCTCTGTGACACATACACAAGAGACGAAATGAAACATACAGAGAAAAAAATATTAAAAATAACAATAATAAATAAATAAAAGAAACAGATGATAGTCTTAGAACCCTAAGTTTCATAGGAGAGAATACAGATTAGGAGAAGACACGGAACCAAAGTGTTGTGAGGAGAGACAGCTGGGTAAAAATTAAGCTAGCTGGACACAGACATCTTGAACTTTTGCATGAAGCATTCACTCGTCCTGGCACATCAGTGCGTGGTGACAAGAAAGGAGACAGTGGCCATGCCTCCACAACTCGCTTACACCCATACCTCCTGCAGCCCCACCTTGTAGGGGAGGGACACTGTCCGCTTCTGTACCACCTGGTCATCTTAGACAGCAGCCAACACCAGCCTGACCCACCCTGGACTGTGTGCAGTCAGAGAACTGCCAACACATTCACATTCTCTATCACATCTACCAGAAGACAAATGAGGAGTGCCTCAGAACAACAAACGTATTCTCATCGATTAAATAAAAATAGATCCACAATGTCTCAGACTAGCCAGAGTGACTCAAACTTGTGGCCGGAATGCAAACCCAGAAGAGCTTTTCTCAGGAAGGAACTCCAGCAAGGACCGCTATGAGTCAGAATTGGCTGGCGGGGCGGGGGGGTTTCGGGGGAAGAAATAGGTGAGGGACGGTATCATATCACTGAATTCTTTTAAATTAATTTTTAACTTGGAACTATGTAGGAAGTTACTTAAAATAAATAAAAAGCTAATTAGAAAAAAAAATAACAGTTTCATGACCAGCATAACCATGAATATACTGTTAACGTTGAAAATTTTTTTAAACTGAAATTATATTCCAATAAATTAATGGAGAGTCTGGTTGCCCATTGAGTGCTTTAAAGTTTTTGTGTTTTTTTTTAATTCTCTTCCAGGATTTAGAAAATTATATATTGGAGCTTATCCCTACTTTGCCACAATTAGATGGGCTGGAAAAATCCTTTTACTCCTTTTACGTTTGTACTGCAGTTAGGAAGTTTTTCTTCTTTTTAGACCCTCTAAGAACAGGTAAAAGAAAATCTTATCTTGGAAATTACCAGAATATTATTATTTCTAAGTCACAATCTTTAGAGAAAAATCTTGAAAATGTCGTTGTAGTTATTTTCCTAATGTCATTATCATTAACAAGCTAGTGAGGTTCAAGGGAGTTGAAAAGTACTCAAATCAGCAACAGTGCTTTGGTGTAGATTTATGTCTCTCCAGCTCCCGCGTCATTTACTGGTACCAACTGCAAGCAGCTGTGTCACAGTGGGAATGTCGCTTAACCTCTCTTAGTTTCTTCACCCCTAAAATGAAGAGATAGGAACTCAGTAAACAACCAGTAGGGCTTCTTCTGGTTCTCATAGAATTAGCTGCCATTGATTACTGATATGCTGTAGGACTATTCCCTTTTTGAGGAAAAATATGCATTTGAGAGATGTAAGAACCATTTAATCATGATGTCTGTTTCTCTTTCTTAATTAAGTGCCCTATATGGAGATTCTGAGCCCTGCTGGTGTAGTGGTTACAAGTTGGGCTGCTAACATGAGGTCAGCAGTTTGAAACCACCAGCTGCTCTGTGGAAGGCGAGGCTTTCTACTCTTGTAAACAGTTACGGTCTCAGAGACGCATAGAGCCCGTTCTACTTGTTCTTTAGAATTGCTGTCTGTTAGAATCAGCTCAGTGGCCATGAATTTTTGGATACTGGTGTTGGGAGCCCTGATGGCACAGTACATTCCACATTAGGCTGCTAACCTCAAAGTCAGTGGTTCAAAACCACCAGCTGCTATGCAGAAGGAAGATGCTTTCTGCTTCCTTAAAGATTTATAGCCTCAAGATCCCACAAGGGCAGTCCTACCCTATTCTATAGAGTCTCTGTAAATAAGAATGGGCTTGATGGTGGTGAGTTTGATTTTTTTTTTTAAAAGATGGGGATTAGAGACTTAGTATTTTGACCTTATTCACAGTGTGCTTTATCAACTGTCCTAACCTGCTCAGATTTAAATGTTTTACCTGGAGCAGAGGAAGGCATGAAGGAGACCCAAATCAAGGTGCTTAGCTCTCCTGTTAAAATTCTGAGCCCATATTAGTACACGGAAGCTCACAGTCTTTTTCACACTCCTATACTATAGGCACATACCATCTTTTCTCCTTGAAATTTTACAAACTAGTAATACTATCTAACCGTTTTGACTATTGAATATCAGACATCTTTCATTTGCTCTTTATAATCCCATAAGAAGATACAAGTATTGTTCACACTTTATGCTTAAAGCAACTGAGAATTAAATAGATTACTTATCTAGAAGTGGCACTCAAATTTTCATCTGTCTGCTCTTAACCATGCCTCTATTGCTTCCTATTTCCAGAACCTTCCACAGGAAAATGGAGATAGTCTCCTTATTTGATTATCAACATTATCATAAATATAGCCACAAAATAATTAACACTATTTTTTTGTTATTCTCATTTCAATGTATGTTAGAAAAGACATCACTTGAATGTACACAGGGGAGTGTACAAGTAGACGTACACGCAGTGATGTCGTTCAGTATTCCCCGCAGCCTTGAGGAATCAGAACCGCAGAGCACAAGAACTGACAAGCTTTCACAGAACCATTGTGTGATACCTCCTCTAAAATACATTTTAAAAATTGAGTTGCTCTTGTTTGAAAGTGAAATTAAATAACTGTGTTTCCTTATATTCTATAAAGGGAAGATAAAAATTCAAGATATTTTAGCATGCAGCTTCCTAGATGATTTGTTGGAGGTAAATATGTTTTTATGTTGGTGGTGGTTTAATTCTATCACTTGACAGTTGCTATCCTCTAATTCTGTCTCTTTGTTTAGCTCAGGGATGAGGAACTATCCAAGGAAAGTCAAGAAACAAATTGGTTTTCAGCTCCCTCTGCCCTAAGAGTTTATGGTATGTTCCTATCTTAATGGTAAATTCAAAATTTTCCCTTCTTCAGTTAATTGGCTTTCAGCAATTTTATACATAGGATAATTTACCTTAAGATCAATTCTAATATTCTGAAGCTCTAGTATTCAAGATTATTGAAACTACCTTGTTTAAATACCAACACATTTTTATTTTGGTAATTTCTTTATAACTTTCTTTAAGGTATTACACTTTCTTACTTTCAAATGGAACCAAACATGTTTTTTGATCCTTTATTGTTGACTCAGATCATCTATTTCTTGCATTGTGATAAAATGCTGTTCTCTGGTAAAAGGAA